GGTAGACACAACTTAAGTTGGATGACCCTGTGAGTGATCAACCAATTTACCAAGTGAGTCACCCACTTATAGAAATATTTTTCTACATTAAATGTATACTCACCAGAAAAGTCAACTTTTGCTTGGATTGATGAACTGTTGCCCACAGCTGCAGCAGACAGATGGGTGTATTTTATTCTCAACCATACTATGAGGGATCCTGCCTAAGAACCACCAAACGAGACTCACGTATTGTTGGCGAGCCTCCTTTTCACCGCCATGATGGCTGAGAAGTTGGCAAGGAGGTAGTGGGGGCTGCAGGTACTTAGGTCTCTGCAATTAAAACACAATCACATTTTCTTATGACGACCACTTGATACAAGCTTGACTTTGAAGCCAAAGAGCAAAGGTTGAAAGCACACTGAGAATTCTACCCCCTTTCCACTTGGAACATTTGAATGAAAATGCGTTGAAGGACCGTCTGGTTAACAGTGACACATAAATGCAAGCAAGCAGCAGAAGGAGGAGGAGCTCCCATTTCTCATCTCATTTGTGTATTTCCTTCCCACCCCAGGCACTTGATGAGAGCTCCAGACACCTCCCATAGAAAGACAGCCTTCTCTTGGGCACTGAGCCCACTGATCACACTGGGCAATGAGTTATTGGCCTAACTCCAAGGGTAGCTCTTATTGGAAAGAAATAAGCTGGCATTGCTTTGCTACTTTCTGAGAATTTAGAGGATCCATGGTTAATCATGTGGAGGGTATTTTCCAGTCTTTTTTGCTTGCCTGCTGCATCCACATAACACCAGTACGAGCTTGAATTTCTTAAGTTATGAGGGAGCCAAATAACATTTGGTTAAAACATTTTAATGTTTATTTATAAAAATTTTTATAAATATAAATATAAATTTATAAAAATATAAATTTAAATTTGTTTATAAAATTTTTATGATGTTTATTTATAAAAACATTTGGCCCCAAAACATTTACCATTTTGTTGCTTTTCAGTGAGGTTTTCTACAAGCTTGAAGAAGTCTGTTGTTTGTGTTGTTTTTAATCCTTAACACCACGCACAAAAATATCCTCTCTCCTTGCTGGAGATATTAATTTCAAGCAACATAATGCCCCAAATGGCTGAATGCAGACATCAAAAATAGGCTAAACGCACAAAAAAAGGCATTTCACAAAGAAGAAATACATAGTCAATGAACACATGAAAGAAATTGAGTACTACTAATAATCATAAAAATGCAAATATAGTGATGATTTGGTTTTTTTCTCCCATCAAATTTTTGAACAATTTGTTTCAACGATAGTACTAAACATTGGCAAAAGCTAGATGAGGCAGAAATCTTGTGAACTACTGGAGAGAAAAAAGTAGGAGAACATTTCTGAGGAGCACACTGGCTACCTATATCAGGGCCTTCTAGAAGGCAAAGGAGTTTTGATCCAGTATTTCACTGCTAGGAGCCTCTGACAGAGAGTTAGCTGGCCCCAGATATCTATTCTCCCTTTTTTCTCTTAGAAAAAAAAAAAAATCACCTAGGTTCATTGAATTAAAATGACATTTCCCAGCCACAACAACGTATTAGAAAAATAAAAGCTTAAATACAGTTTGTTTTGAAAAAAATTCTATATATTTAGCCAAATGAGAATTGTAAACAAATGTAAGCCAAGAGTTTAGCAACAAATATCTCTAATTTAAAGTCAGAGTATGAGGATTATGAGTGACATTTCTTTCTTTCTTTATAAACTTCTTTACTTTTCCTCAAAATATCAATTTTAAAACCGGAAAAAAATTATCAAAAAAAAGTAGAGGTTTATATGGTTCACAAATATTATGAAAGTGTTAAGACAGTAAGAATCCCTACCATATTACATGATAATCATAGACTCTAAAAGCATGACAAATAATAATGTAGGACAAAGTAATGCATGCTGAATATTTTGCTCTTTAAATATTTATTTAAAAATTACTGTTTCAAAAATAAATAGTGATTTCTTAATCACTATCAGCTTAAACTTTCCATTCTAAATAGAGAGGCACCCTGAATAAATGATGGGAGGTGAGGGCTGGCTCACATTGCTTAGGGTCCACTCTAGGAGGTCATGTTTAAAGAAGCAAGGGGGCACCCAGGTGGCTCAGTCAGTTAAGCATCTGCCTTCAGCTCATGGCATGATCTCAAGGTCCTGGGATTGAGCCCCACGTAGGGTTCCACACCCAGTGGGGAGTCTGGTTCTCCCTCTCCCTCTGCCTGCTCCCCCAGCCCGGCTCATGTGCTCTCGCCCTCTCAAATAAATAAAATCTTAAAAAAAAAAAAATTTAAAAGAAACACAATCCAACAACCAACAGCAATGAAAAGAGAAGTATATGCTTTGCAGCCCCTCAAAGCACATCAAAAGGGTTAAAGGTCTCAGGAGTGTCCCTTCTTCTGCTTCCTAATTCTGTTGAGGAAACTCCCATAAACAAAACCCTTACTCTCCTCTTAGCACCAACTCAAGCACCAATTTTTCCCCACTCACCAGAATTTTTTCTTTTTATGTGTTTTTAATCTCCTTCCCAGCCAACATGGCCTTCTCCCTCTTCATGATTAGAAGGTAGAGCAGACAATGGGAAGAAAAGGACTTGGCTGATAAAGGATTTTCTGTAGCAAAGGGGGAAGGGAGGAAAATTGTAAACACTGAGGGCTAATGAGTTTTGTCTCAGCAAGTAATGAGCAATTGTACCCCAAAACAAGTGATTGGATCCCTTTGATGGCGTTACAGATTAATTATATGGAGAGTATTAGTTAGTCACTGTTTCTGACTTCATCAACACAAACTGTGAATTTGGTCAATACAAGTCCTTCCATTTTGGAAAAATGTCTCGAGGCAATATAGGAAACGTAGTCTTGAAACTTTTTATGTAATAACAGAATTCTGACAACACCCACACACAAATCACATTTTCTAATGAAGAAAGGTAGAGCTAAGGAAATTACTGGACTGTCACCACATCATAAAATAGTCAGTGACTTAGAATTCCAAAATCACTTTTTTTGCAGCTAAGAAGAGACCTATGCTATTAACCTAACGTTATTAATAGTTTTCCACTCTTCAATAGTACCAAGAATTATGACTCATATAATAAAGATATCATTTCACTGACATTAATGGCATTCTCAGGGTTGTAGAAAGCATTGCATGTTCCTTTTAAAATGAGAGTAAAACTCTTTGCACCTATTTTTGATCTTCTTAAAACTTTTAGAAGCACCTTATAATTCATTTTGTCTGTGTGTGTGTGTGTGTGTGTGTGTGTGTGTGTGTGTATATATAATTATAAGTAGAGGGGGGGAAATCACACTTTTCCACCACACAAAACACAATACTAAGTGCTAAGAATAAGATCTTGAAGAACAGCTAGGTCTCCTTCTCCTGCCCCTGGGGTGCCACTGCAAGCCAAAATTTGACATTTCACTTAACAATGACAAACTGTTTTTAATAAAATGGTCGCTACTGCCTCCGAGTGGTAGGTCATTTTCAGAGTTTAAATTTCATTAATCTCAAGTCCTATCAGCCTAAAAGGAGAAAATTTTGAGACTGACAGGGTATGTATCGTTTTAAGTTTAAATTCTGAACATGATACTGTAGTTTAAGGACATGAAGAGTATGTTTTATTTAGAAAAGTGTACGAACAACTCATAAGTGTATGAGTTTGGATGACTTTGTCCATAAAACCTGTGTGCGTTCCACAGGGAAGCAGACAGCGGGCTTTCATTTCTCACTGTTTTCCAGGTAACGCTCCTTGACATCCGTGTTTTGCTGGTGGCACTTTCACCTCTAGTCATCAGCAACACTGAGCCACCAAGTGTATAGAACTCATTATTCATGAAATGCATCCGTGGAAAGAAAAGTGTTATTTTAAATCGCTAATGCATCAGACTGGAATTGTCTGTTTGCTATTTCTCTCCCTCCCTCCCTTCCTTCCTTCCTTCCTCCCTCTCTTTCTTTCTTTCTTTCTTTCTTTTCTCTCTCTCTTTCTTTCTTTAAGATTTTATTTATTTATTTGTCAGAGAGAGAGAGAACACAAGCAAGGAGAGTGGCAAGCAGAGGGAGAAGCAGACTCCCTACTGTGCAGGGAGCCAACGCAGGGCTCCATTCCAGGACCCTGGGATCATGACCTGAGCCGAAGGCAGACCCTTAACTGACTGAGCCACCCAGGCCCCCCCCCCCCCGTTTGCTATTTCTAATGGTAGAGTGATAGTACAGTTAATTTGTCAAAAATGAAGATGAGGATGACAGTTCTGAGGACTGTTTTAAGCAAGTGACAAGGCAAGCAGCTATTCCCACAAGTTGCACAAACTTGTTGAAAATTAGCAGCCAACAATATAGTTTGCCCAAATCAAACCCTACATAATTAGTACATTGGATTTTGGATTTTGGATGGTAGATCAAAGGCGTCTCTACCTTTCTTCCAATCTGAAATGAGCCAAATACATGAAGGACACTAAACAATAATGGCAACTCGGTCTTCCAGGAAAACAGAAAACACTAAATATCAAAATCATGGAGAGATCTGGGAACTTTGGGGAGAGCTGTCAAAGCACCGACTTCTACAAAATGATGAAGCATCCATGGGACAAGCCAAAGACCTCTTACGTGGAACAGAAAGATTCATGTGCATGGGCTGGGTTGGGGATACAGAAGACCCCTTGAATCCTACTCGACTCCATGGAGGGACAGGCCACAGTAAGAACAGTCAGAAATCAATGAAGCAGCCAACCCAGGTGTTTAGACAAAAAAAAAAAATGGATCCAAAGAAATCACACGCAAGAAAATAAAGACGAAAAAGTGATAGAACTAAAAGAATGAATCCAATAGTTTTTTCCTCCGTTCTTTTTCTCTTTCCCTTTCTCTCTCTCTTCCTTCTTTCCTTCCTTCCTTCCTTCCTTCCTTCCTTCCTTCCTTCCTTCCTTCCTTTCCTTCTCATCCTCATTTACTGCCCTCATACCACTCTACTCATCCAGTGTCAAAGCAGAAGGGGCAGATCACGACTCCCAGGCATCCACAAAGTAGGCAGCTCTTCTCAGAGGCAACTTTACCCACTTAAAAATTCATCTCACATTAGCAGTAAGGATTCGGGCATCACCCTGAACCCTCGTTTTCCTTCCTTATTCATAAGTTTAAGGCATCCAATGGTTGTTTCTTTAAATACAAAATGAAATTTTAAAAATCTAGAAAAACCATCGTCCAGTCTGGTAGTTCTCAACCTGGGTGATTTTGCCCACCCCTTCACCCAGGGGACATTTGGCAATGTTTGGAGATATTTTTGGTTGTCACAGTTGGGTAACAATAGACGTTACTGGCATCTGGAAGGTAGCAGGAGGGGTGCTACCAGACATGCCACGTCAGGTCCCATGACCAAGAACTGTTTGATGCAAAACATCAGTAGTGCCCAGGCTGATAAACACTTGTCTGACCTGATCATGAAAAAGTATGGGAATTACAGATAAATAAGAATGAGGATGGAGAAGTAATTTGACTCAAAGGCATTTGAAAAATTATAGAACACTTCACTTAAATCTGAGCCAATCACTTTGAGAATCTGTATGTAATTAATGATTTTCCCAGAAAATCTGAGTTACCAAAAAAAAAAAAAACTGTAGAAAATGTAGAGTTTCTAACCAAATTATCATGGAAGAAATAAAGTTGCAAAAAAAGACAAAACAGTGAGAGAATGAGAGACAAGTCCATCGACATTTTAAGGAACAGATTGTTGCAGTGTAATTTGAATTGTTCCAGAGCATATAGTAAGGAAAAAGAAATCATCCTTTTCTTTTTTTTTTAAAATCAGAGTTAACAAGTTAATACCAAAACCTGACAAAGAAAACCCATGGAAAAGAAAATTATAGGAGAATCTCAATTATAATTATCAATGTATTAAATGAAAATATTAGCCAGAACATTGTATCAGTACTTTAAAGCAATAACACATGATTCCAGGTTGGATTCATATTGATGAAAGTTTCACAATTAGGGAATCCAATGTAATTTACCATTTTAATAAATCTTACCACAAACTTACCACTTTAATAAATCACAGAAAAACAACGTGACAATCTTCATGATTTCTGAAAGACAACTGTTACAATTCAACATCTGAAAAACTTCCATCTCTGTCCTTTAAATAAAAGAACATATAAATATTTTCATATCATGATTTTATATGCCCTAACACTTTCTATGAGATACACATACATACTTGTATATATAGTTATGTTTAGTTAATTATAAATATGTGTATTAAATATATGTTTTCCCTAAGGTGAACATAGGGAAAAGAAAGCCTCTTTCCCAAGATAGGTTATTCCAAATATCTCATAGCCCAGGATATAGAAATTACTTCAGAAGTGCGCACACAACTCAAACAGAACCAAGTAAATTCTCTCACCTAAAATTGTAGGTTATAATTGCAAAGCGGCTTTTTCTGTCATTAGTATGACTAAGTTTGTGACCTCAGAGCCTGACCGAACCTTTAGAGGTGTGCGGAATCCAATGGGGTGTACTCACAAAATTATTAGGGTTTTGGTCCTGCAAAATAAGAAGGATATTATAGGGGCCCCTGGGTGTGTCAGTCAGTTAAGCATTCAACTCTTGATTTCAGCTCAGATCATGATCTCAGGGTTGTGAGAATGAGCCCCACGCTTGGTGTGGGGCCTGCTTAATATTCTCCCACTCTCCCCACCAATCCTTTCCTCACTTCCTTTAAAGAAGAAGAAGAGGAGGAGGAGGAAGAGGAGGAGGAAGACTCGGAATTAAAGTGAATCCAATTAAATGTTGAAAGCATCTGGGTAGGAGCTTATAGCTCTAATCTGATTTCAGAATTTAAAAACCTTTAATTTGAAGAAGGCCAAAAGGCCTCTCTTTTGACACACATGGACTTGTGGTCTCTCTTGGTTTAGCAGCCATTAAAAAGGGCTTTGTCTGTCCCATCTGGGTGGTGAAAAACATACTCTTCCAGCATGCTATTCCAGATCTTATAACCTAACTAAAGCTTCAGGTTGTATGCAACCATTTAATATGGAAAAAAACCCAGTCTGTACATATTAGATACTTTAAGCATTGGTAATGCTTAAGAGAATCTGAGTACTTAACAGATTAACAGCTACTCCAAAGTAAAAAGGCATTTGGATATTGATTTAGACTTGCATTTTTAGGATGAAAGGAACAAGAAAAGTTGACTAATGTAAAACAGTGTAAGACCATTTAGGAGAATTTATGACTTTCCCCATATGTACAGTTTTAATGTACTTGATTTACCAGAGTAGTATCTAAGAACTTGGAAAGCTTTGTTTGTTAATTAGACATTTGAAGGGCTTCAAAGAAAATTAAATATATTTAATTTATAAATGTAGTTTAAATGTCTAAGGGAATTTTATTAGATTATTCAAGCACTCTTAAAAGTGACTGTTGAAATTTGCTAGCTTTATAAATAGATGATAAGATTTGTAATTTAATTTGTAAAGCATAAGAAAGAATTAGGCTTCTACATTTATAACTTATTACCATCACTAATGTGACTAGAATGGAATTTATAACTTATTAAAGTTACAGATTTTACTAATGTCACATTTAAATTTTGTATATGTTGATTAGTCTCAGAGTAATCTTGTTTAAGTACAAACTACCCCCTTAATGGCATCAAAACACTCTGCCCGTGGAGATCAGAAGCACCAAAGATCCACCAGCCTGGAGATCCCTGGGACCATTTGCTACTGGAGAGGAAGTCTGCCCAGGAACAAGACCAATCAATGCAAAAGTCACCAAGAGATGGAACAATGATCTCCTTAAACCTTTGTATCCCACCATGCCTGAAGTCTTACCGCCCTGAATTTTTTTAAGTCAGTACTGTCCTCCTTTATGCTTAAATTAAAAATTTGTTTATAAACATATAATGTATTTTTATCCCCAAGGGTACAGGTCTATGAATCGCAAGCACAGTTTTTCTCATTTGCAAATAAAAGTTCAAATGTTGGCAGATCAGAGCATCTCCCCCTCTTGTGATCTTCTCTTCTCTCTCAGCTTTGAAACTGGCAGGTGAAGTTAGGGCAACAAGTCTTTGATCTTATGGGTCAGTTTATCCAGACAAAGGTAGATTGTTCATAGTTGATTTTTCATGAGACTAGAAAAGAGTCAGGCAAGTTAAGTGCTTTTTGCATGTCAATGGAACTCCTACAGCTGAGAGTGCAAAAAAGATGGGACACCTGATAGAAAAATTGACAAGAAGGAAATGGGCATGTGGACAAGTGGACAACTGACAATTGGAAAATGGCCACGAATTCTATACAATGCAGAGAAGAAAAATGACCCCACACTAGTATCAGAGAAAGACAAATGTAAACCACCCAGAGATACTATTTTAACCCATCAGATGGTCAAAAATGCAACTTGGATAAAACCATTTATTGGTGGGGATGTAGGAAAACAAAAGCCCTATGCACTGCTAGTGGAAACACAGCTTGAGTGTTCATTTGGAGTACACTCTGGCAGGATTTTGTGAAATTGGGCACACCATAACCTTCAGACACAGTTTTTCTACTCCCATATATGTAGCCCCCCAAATTCTCTCTCCGATGCCCAAGAGACCATGTACCAGGGGGCTAACTACAGTGTTGGGGGTTCCAGGCGTTAGAAGTCACAAAGATATCAGGGGCGCCTGGGTGGCTCAGTCGGTTAGACATCTGCCTTTGGCTCAGGTCATGTTCCCGGTGTCCTGAGATTGAGCACTACGTCAGGCTCTCTGTTTTGTGGGGAGTCTGCTTCTTCCTCGCCCTCTGCCTGCAGCTCCCCCTGCTTGTGGGCTCTCTCTCTCCCTGCCTCTCTCTGTCAAAAAAATAAACAAAAAATCTTTAAAAAAAAAAAAAAAAGAAAGAAAGAAAGAAACCATGAAGATGTCCATCAAAAAATGTGAAAGTAATGGTAAGTTAAAAATGTGCACCATCCGTACACCAGATCACTGTGCAGAAGGAAGGAAAGGGAAAAGAAGGAATTGGCTGCACATAAGGCAACATGGACCGATCTCAAGACCATAGGTGGCTGAAAAAAGAAAGTATGAAACAGAATTGATTTGAGGCACAATGCCTTTTAAGTACATTTTCTAAAACAGAAAGCAATACTATATGTTTATCTTGGACAGACATATAAAGAAATTTATTGAAAGTCATTTGGGGAAAGTATATAGTAAATACACCAGACACAAGGAAGGCAATGAGACTGGGGACCAGGAGGGAAAAGAGAGGAAAATAAAATAAACTAGAATAATATAAGAGGAACTGCAGGAGAGAATGATGGTGATGATATGCCGTGAAATTAGAAGCATGATTGGCTCAATTCTATGCACCTAATAGATCTTCATGATCATAATTTGAAATTGAAAGAGGAACAAACTGAAAGCCTGTAATATTTTCCCCAAAGGAAACGTGGGCATATAAACTCAAAGGAATGGCCAGCAAGCACCACAATTTACCGTGGATGCTAACCATGGAGTAAAATGGAAGTTTATGAAATAATATTTTGTGGCCATGACAGAGAGGAAATGGAACTTGGAATTATGTAGGAACTTGGAATTATGTAGTAACTTGGATTGCAACCACATAAAAAGGAGAGGAATGCATGAGAGCACAAGGAAACAGAAACAGTTGTATAAGGAAGGGGATGAGGAGCCCCTGTGAGAGAGGAAGCTGAAGAGAGGCTCATTTACCGCCCTCTACTGAACCATCTCCTTGACTTTTTCCCCAAGCTATGAACAATCTAGCCTCACTTCTTGTTGCCTTCCAGTAGATACCCCAAGACTCCAAACACAAAATGACAAGATACAAATGAGGGCGTCACTAGCCCAGGATTACAATAGTGCCGTGCCCTGCTTGAATCCAGGGTTCTTGAACCTTACGTCTTTGTGTCATTCTTGAGATTCCTTGGGTTCTTTTGATATCCATCTCTCTCTGACTTCTCCACCTCCTTTTTTTCCTCCTCTTCCTCCTCTCATTCTTCATTATCTGATTATCGACCACGCACACATGCTAAGTTCACAGGCATTTCCAAGGCTTCCCAGAACGATGAGACAGTTGACAGGTTCCCTGATTCTGAAAGAGCTTCTAATTTAGTTGGGAGAATAGAATCCCATGAGATGTCA